GAAAGTGTCTAATGCTCAAATTTCTGAGGTTAGAAGATCACAAAGGAGTACCAAAGCTCCTCTATGGATGCAAGATTATGTTGCTTCTGCTCATCTCACTCCTAGCAGACCTCTATATTCTATTGACAAATATCTTGGCTATGATTATCTGTCTAAGTCCTATCAGGCATTTCTTTCCTCTTTTGGTCATGAGGTTGAACCTAGTACTTTTGAAGAAGCATGTAAAGATCCCAAATGGGTTGAAGCCATGCAGGCTGAAATCTCAGCCTTGGAAACTCATCAGACTTGGAAAGTAGTACCTTTACCTCCACACAAAAAGGCCATTGGTTGTAAGTGGATTTTTAAAATAAAATATCAAGCTTCAGGGGAGGTTGAAAGATTCAAAGCTCGACTAGTTGCAAAGGGCTTTAACCAAAGAGAGGGACTAGATTATAAAGAAACTTTTTCCCCTGTTGTTAAGATGGTTACAGTCAGAAGTGTATTGGCTTTGGCTGCTGTTGAAAACTGGCATGTTCATCAGATGGATGTGTCAAATGCCTTCCTTCAAGGGGACTTATTTGATGAAGTTTATATGAATCTACCTCAAGGTTTTCAGCTTCCTAAGGGATTTATTGTGCAGGGGGAGAAACCAGTGTGTAGGCTCACTAAATCCCTCTATGGTTTGAAGCAAGCTCCTAGACAGTAGAATATGAAGCTCACAGATGCACTAATCAGATTGGGATTTACACAGAGTCATGCAGATTATTCATTGTTCATTAAGAGAACAAAAACATCAGTGGTTATACTTCTGGTATATGTTGATGATATGATGATTACAGGTAATGACCTTAGTCTTATTCAACAAACCAAAGAAGTTTTGCAGGATACTTTTAAGATGAAAGACCTAGGAGAACTCAGATATTTCCTAGGAATTGAATTTGCTAGATCACAAGAAGGGATAGTCATGCATCAAAGGAAATATTCTCTTGAAATCATTTCTGAAGCTGGACTTGGAGCTGCCAAACCAGCTTCTACACCTATTGATCCTTATGTACAGTTAACTACAAAGGAGTATGATGAAACAAATGGAACAGGAAAGGAAGATAAGTTACTGGAGGATCCAACAGCATATAGAAGATTAGTTGGAAAATTGTTGTATCTAAATGTTACCAGGCCTGACATTGCTTTTGCTACACAAACACTGAGTCAGTTTCTTCATCAACCTAAACAATCTCATCTCAATGCTGCACTTAAGGTTGTAAAATATGTCAAGGGACAAGCAGGACTAGGTGTATTATTATCCAGCAAGAACAACAAACAGTTAAAAGTATATTGTGATTCAGATTGGGGAGCTTGTTTACACACCAGAAGATCTGTTACTGGATTCATAGTTAAGCTGGGAGATTCACTAATATCATGGAAATCAAAGAAACAAGGAACTATATGTAGAAGTTCAGTTGAAGCTGAGTATAGAAGCATGGCAAGTGCTGTTGCTGAAGTAGTATGGATAACAAAATTATTCAAGGAACTAGGAGCTGATGTAGTAACCCCAGCCATCATTTATAGTGATAGCAAGTCAGCTATACAAATTGCTGCCAATCCAGTATTACATGAGAGAACTAAGCATATAGAATTGGATTGTCATTTCATAAGAGAGAAAATTCAGAATGGTCTAATTCAGACTGAATATCTACATACCAAAGAGCAAGAGGCTGATATACTAACTAAAGGCCTCAACAAGTTTCAACATGAATATTTATTATCCAAGTTTGGAGTATTGAATCTTTTCACTCCTACAAACTTGAGGGGGAGTATTAAAGATGGTATTACTTAGTAAGTTGAGGTTCATTATGTAATTAGTAGAAATTAGAGGAGTAGTTAGCAAATAGGTAGTTAAAGTAGTTACAAAAATATTCTTCTCTTTCTTGTATAAATACTAACTAAACATGTTTGTTACAAGTAGAAAAGTTTTAACAAGTTGTATAATACAGAGATGAGTTTTCTTCTTCTTCTAAACTTCATCTGAGAATCTGCACATTGCAGATTACTCACTCTTCAAAGTTTTCAAATTTGATACCTCAAGGTTAGTTTTGTGAAAAGATGAATTGATAACTACTAAATCTTCGCCGTGCAGCTACAGAAAGGCTTTGAGAATGATGAAATCTGCTAATCATTGTGTCTTGTTACATTTTTGACAATCCAGGGGCTTTAGCTTATTAAAGATCTGAAGAGCTAGGTCAGGTGTGAGTCTTCACCGTGAATTTCAAATATTGTGTTATTAGATTGTGTTTAGTCATGTAGAATCTTTAATCACCTCCAATAATTTCATGACAATTTAAGGGCATGTTTGGGCTGAAAGTTCCAATCGTAATAGTTGTAACTAATGAAGGTGCTTCAAGCAGAGCTCTTGCCATCGGATGTGATTAATGTTCAACATTTTATGTTTCTAAGTTTGGTTCACTTGTACTTCATCCATATTTTTGCTACTTAACTATTAGGCATGTGACAGTTTGAAGAATAAGAAAAGTAGTTTAATAATAATTTATCAACCAAAAACATGTAGTTTTCGCTTTAAAACATGGACACATTGTACATATGATGTTGCGGCATGGATTTTGTAGTTATTGTTTTTTACACTTGTTGCATTGTTTCCTTGAATATCTCCATCTTTTCTGTATCTTTACAAATTATGCTTCTTTGATCAGTCTTGTAGCTTGCTCTTCTATATATTATGTATATGAGTCTTCACAAGCAGCACCAACCTCCAAAGTTATAGTTGTGAAAAAAATGGTTTATCATTACTAAAATTCTGATTGGATAGGCAGCTAAGAGCTCAAGAACATTACAGACTTTGGATAGCAGATGCAATTATTCCAGTTAATGGTTTGAAAGAAACAATGTTTAGCTGGACTTTTAGAAGACGGAAAAAAGATGCAAAACATAAGATTGTCGTTCCTTTATCACTTATGTTGACAATGTTTTTGATGAAGTAGAGAAGAATTTTGCAATAGTTCCTCATCCCTCATTTACTTTTCGTGCACTCACAAGTTTCTTGCTTACATTGGATTTATTCGTAAAAATTTATCTTTTATAAGGTTGTCTATATATACTATACTTCTATATGGGTGTGTTATTGCCTTTCTTTTACTGTTGAAATTTATTACTTTTTCCAATTTTTTTTTTTAAAAGAGTAGACACAACCTGTGTTCTAAGTTAAGCTTTTTTTTATGAAATAATTCCAGTAGCACTGGAGGTGTTGTATATCATAACAAAAGTTTAAATACAACACATTGATAGAAACTATCCATCAAAAAAATGGGCAAACAACACAAAAATCAGCTTATTGCCCATCAATACTGCATCAAAAGGAGAAGCCTAACTAACAAAAAGAAATTCCTTATCAACTTTAGACCTTATACTCGTGACTTGTCTCTTATCCAGAATGAAAAGTCATTTTGCGGCCTGAGGAAGTTGTTGAGCCGAAAGATAAATGTTTCTAGTTTGAGAGTTCATCACTGTCTTTGCGCCCGTCTGCAAGTTGATTGGCTTCTCTGTAGCAATGCTCAAACTTGATACTAGCAAGACGTAGTATTGAAGAGGTAGCTTCAATGAGCAAGAGGGAATGGTCTGTAGTAGCTTCAATGAGCAAGAGGGAATGGTCTGTAGGTTTGAAGGTAATCTTACTCTTTTTCTTTGGCATCTTTTTTGTTTACTTCCTTGTAACTTTTTTCTGTAACTTAAGATGTAAAGACTAGGACTTGTTTGCCTTTGTCGTTGGTATCATGCCCATTCTGTAAAGCTCATCATTACTAAGCTCTGTGTTGTTCTGTTCTTGTAGATTAACAGCTTCCTCCATCGCGTGTTCAACACCATTAACGACTTCCTTGCTCTGCTTAGCCTCCTTTTCCTGTAGAACTGATTGAGGCCTAGCAAGAAAAAAATAGTTTCATATTCCAACTTTTGAATCAAATGGTGAATTGTCATCCTCTAAACCAACCCAGACACTTTCCAATTCCACTCTCACCTTAGCCATACCAAGCCTAGTTTTGCTGTTAGTAGCAGATTCCGTATACAGAGAAATATGTATATGTCGATTGAGTGTATGTGATTGCATATCTTATGTATCGCTGGACATAAACTTACCTATACCCAAGTCACAACATACGAAATACATAGACGATGTTTACATGTTGTTGGGGGTACAATTTGTAATTTTTCAAATATAATAAAACTTTGTTATAAGAAATACAATTTACATGGGAGTGACCGTTGCACTTCTATGAGCCATATTAGTCTGCCTATACCACATAATGAATGTCGTACAAAAAAATAAACCCAAAATTACAAAAGTCAATATTACATATAAATAATCCCTACTAGAGCTTTTATCATAGTTGGGGGACAAGTTGGGAAGAAGAGGTAGAAGTGGTGGTAAAGAGGGTTTGTAACTCCCTTGGTATTCGATGATGGCGGTTGTAATTTTATTCGTGTCATATGCCTCGCTAATATTCGTTGAAGCAACCATATAATAATAATAATTTGGCTGCTGGTTCGCCTCGAAGATGCAATCAATCGAGTGTTGTCTAGTCAATTCGACAAAGGGGGTTGATAATGGCTCTATGATAGGACTACCATCCATCGCGATTACGGTTAAGTTGTGCGAGGCGATCCCAAGGTAAAGTTTTTTATGGATCGCAGCGTTTACAATTCTGAGAAGATATTTCTTCCCAGTATCCACTACTATCCTAAAAGTTCCTGTGCAAATATAATTTAATAAAAGAACATTAAAATGAATTCAACAAATAACTAGAGAAAATAAAAAGTAAAATCTTTACCAGGTTTGACATAAACTGATCCAAGTGAAATTTGATGACATTATCTTTTTAAAATTTCAATACAATAATAACAACATAATAACAGCTAATGCATTTTTCTTTTATCAAATTTTAAAGGCCCTTCCACCATTACTTGGAAAAAAGCCATGTCTTTTCCTTAACTATTTTAAAAGCCTAATTAAGGAGATGATTTTGACTTTTAATAGATTAATTAAGTTTGATATAAATAAATTGAACTGGACGACTCACGCATACCATTTTTTGAACAAGGGTAGAAGTCACCAGGCTGTCCATTGATCGTGTAAGCGTTCGATTTTACGTCACTGCCTGAGTCGATATAGTCGACGAAGACCTCCTTGACATCCTTCTTCCACCATTCACCTGTGAAGAATTAATCAAACATATATATGTTAGTAAAAAGACTTGTGGTTTCAAAAGAAACTAAATTATTCGAATGCTGTTATACCTAAAATGATGGGAATATCGACATGATCATCAGGTTCTGGATGGACAATGAAAGCGCCATGAACAGTGGCGCGTTGCCAGATGTTCATGGCATGCCACCATAGCGTCCCTTCGTCGTCTTCAGATATTGTTATATTTTTTCTGACGGCAGCTCCTGCCTCAACTAGCCACTCCACTTGATCAGACTTCACGTGTCTACCAACACGCCTACAACTTCATTTTACAACAGTCACCAAAAGTAACAAATGACGTAAACAAACAATGATAAGTAGAATCTTTGTACCAAAACATCGTAACGTTGTCCTTCCCTCTGTTTTCAACGTCTAGGGACAACGTTTCTCCAGCAAGCGCATATATGGTAGGCCCTGGGAATTGTCCGTTGACAGTTAGAATCTTCTTCGATTGACAAAGCCTATCGAAAGAAGTTTCTTCAATCTGTTGATATATAAACTGATTAGTACACAACACAAATGATAAATTTTAACGTTGCAAAAAACATACAATATAATACTTACAACAAAATGAAAAACATTTGTTGAAGCGGTGTACTGAACCGCGAAAAATAGGATTAGTACGAAACTAGTGTTGGCTTTCATGGTCTGGTTTTGGAATGCCATTTTTCTTGAGAAAAGATGAAGAAGATCGAAGGGCACTATTCTTTCAAGAATATTGTAATCAGTTTAAACTCTTTTACAGTAAATTAACAAATGAAAGTGGAGAAATTTCTATCTATTATATAGAGGATAAAAGGCAATACAGCTATATTTATTCATATCACTCAACTTTAATTCTTCCCAATTTGAATAGAAGTTAAATAAATTGGTTTAGGGTTATAAGGGTAAAATCATTTTACCCTCTTATCTATTCATATGCACTATCCAATTTGAAACGAAGTGCAATAAGTTGGTTTAGAGTTATAAGTTATCACTTTTTTAGGAAAAAAGAAGAGATATAGAGTAAAAATTAAATCCAAACAATTATAGCTAATTGTTACCCATCACTATCATGCATATTGATTATGGGTAGGAAAAAGGAAAAAAACAAGTAATGAATGCTTTAAAATTAAAAAAAGTTGAAACATTCAAAAATATATGAAATTTTCTGCACATAGAAGATATGATCAAGAGAGTTCATGACGAGGCTAACAGCAAGAACTAAGTCTACTCCTTTTGTTTACACCACTGGCTATTTTGATGAAATAAACACAAGGCATATTCTTTCTTGCATTAACAGTTACCCTGTGCAACTCATCTGCTCCACACAAGTCTAATGTTTCCTTACTTGCATAGAAGGACTACATATTTACACGTCTACAATATCTTATAACGTAGTAATTCAATCTGTTCCAATTTTACACAACATCAGAAACTGGAGTACACACTCCCAAACCTCCGTGAGCTAATGACTATATATTGCATAATATGTGAAAGTTCCTTAGTGTCTAATGCAAAACTTCAAATGAAAAAGTAAAATAAATGTCCAAAAGAAATAGATAATATGCAATTGGGCCATAATAAGAAAATAATGTAGCTATAAGCATGAACTTAGGGGTGAAAATAGATTTAATGGGAATCTGACTTTGATCCAACACCAATCAAAATCCAACTCAAAAACTTTAGGCAATGGTGAAGAAACCTTGGATAACTCGTCTACAACAACGGGGATACTTAATTTTTATCTAGAATAACAAATACACACACACTTGAAGTAATTAATAGTATAACATACATCAATAGCTTCGCGTATATCAGGTATGCCTTTGGTTATATTCTCTCCAATTCTTTGATATCCTCTACTTTCATGATACATAAGAAACCATTAATAAAGATAATATATCGAAATAGTAACAATTTAAGTTAACAACAGGAATAAACCTGTATCCAGTTTCTGCAGAGAGTATGATCTTCATTTTTCTCTTCATAGGGTTGATGAAAATATTCGCATGTTATGTTTTTAATATCTTTCATAAGGGAATCAGGAATACCATGGACCTTCTGCAAGATTAAGGAACAAACAACAGTAGAGACACTAATCCCACAACAATGAATTGATTTATACGAAAGGTCCAACTTAAAACTCAGTAAAAGCTTAGTTTCTTCACAGTGAAAGCACACTTTCCCAAAATTGCAAATTAGATAGAAACAATAATTAGGTTACAATCAAGACCGCCAAGGACAGTTAGCACCCTCTATGCACAGGTCCAATAATTAGCGTTAATTTGTTTTTGATAGTTTGGATTATGTGTTGTTGTCGGGAATGAGTTAAATATTTATGAATTTGTGTTGATTTCTTCACTTGAGTTATTGTCTTTTTCATTGATTAATTTGCACAAGTCGTATGTGCCTTAGGAGTTAGCGAGTGTTATATCTCTGTTTTAAATTGGATTGATGTCTTACTGTGATGTTAGCTTGTGTGGAGGCTTATGTGATACTGTTAATTGTTGTGGAAATTCTTCAGAAAATTTTGCCCAATTCAATTTCACGTAGTTTGTTGTAAATGGCTTTGTTATAGGACCATTGCAATTACAGTTAAGTTGTGTCTTGCGATCCCAAAGTAAAGTGCAGCGTTCACATTACAGGAGAAAGTGTTTTCCGTCAAGAATTTCTTTATTCCTAAGTTCAAACTAAAAAAAATTCGCTTATCTAAAATGTAAAAAATCTCAGTTGTCTCACCACACTTGTTAGCTAATTATTAAGTGAAGAGTGTGAATTGAAATAAATATGTTTTCAATAACAGGCACATCAAGTACTGAATCACCCAAAATAAATTGCAACTGCAATTGCAAGAACTAATATAATAGCTTCTTAGTTTTATATATCAGTACAATACAAGCCGTTGGTGCATCTCAGCAAAAACCAGCACCCCCAAATACAAAATTATAATCCCAGTAATCATCATGAGCATTATGTTGACTTCCTTCATGATAACATCTAGATTGATGCGTTTGAACCAACGATTCATCGGGTTGAACATCTTGATCATAGCCCACTCCATACATGACTTGACGCATATGACAAGTGGTGTGTGGATTGCCATCCTCAAAATTACCATTTCCCATGGGGGGACTAAATTGTTGACCCGCTGGTGTAAACGCCTGTCCTCCATATCGCACTACCTGCGATCCATTTCTCAGTTCATTAAAAAGGGTCTCCGGCCATAAACCAATACTAAACGCACCCTGAAACAAAAGATAATAGTCTGCAAAAATAAATAACAACAGAGTTACAACAACAACATACTTGTTGATACTAATATTCCAAAGTATTACAACGGTATGTAATTTACTTACCTTCATCCTTGTATAACTGAATTTCCAATTCATAGTCATCATACATTGGCCTAGAGATTTTTGGGAATGCATAATCTATGGGTACATCAGTGTCAAGTTGAACAAAACCTGGACAAATATTATTGTAACATCCTGTTTTCCGACCGCCATCCATCTATATAATTAAAAAAAAAATGAAACTAAACTTATTCTACATGATTTTGAATTATTTCTTTATGAAAAATACCAATTAATTTCTAATATACTTACTGTCCATGGGAGTATAATCGAGTCCGGCTATCACCGTATAGTTGTGGATGTACCTAAATCAAACATTAACTTCAGGAAATCGAATCATCAAAAAAAGTACTTTATTAGGTTCAAATCATTGATGTTTTATGAAAACTTACAATCCATCCGGCTTGTATTTGCTCGAAATTTGGGTCATTATCTGCACTTTGATGAAATATTGCTGCGGAACTATATTGGCCAGCTCCATTTACATAAAAATTATACAAAGTAATAGTAGCTGTGGCACTTGTAAAACTTTTTATTTCTGGAGATGCATTCATACTAATTCCTGCAAACTGAAGTGTAGTATCAGATTAAATTTAACTATTTGAAATTGAATTTGTTGAGTATTTATAATAAATTTGAATAATTAAAGAAGTAGTTACATCGATGATATCTTCAGCAAGGGATATACTTAAGGAGGCATCTTTGGCATTTTGGAGTTGTTCTTCTGTCAATCGTCGAATAGGGACGTTCCAATCGGACAACCTGTTTTATTCAACCAGAATTCTTCTGTCTTAAAATAAATATTTTTAGCTTTTTGCAATCGCTCGCCTTTGATTGATCTTTGTTTTTCTAGCTCCTTAGCAATTGTCATCTGTTGTTTCGAAAATCCCCATACGTGCAGAAAAAAATGATGTATTTCAAAGAAAGTACAAGAAAAATTATATTTAAATAAACATAAAATATTACTGAAAATAAATGCATGTAAGGGTTAGATTTTGGTGACAATGATAGAGTTGATCAAAGAGTGATCGGTTAAACATTATTTCTCAAAAAGTTATACTAAATATATTATGTATAAACATTAATTTTATGCAAGTTTAATAAGAGTTTTAATTATGAATTAGCTATATCTTATAAAGAAAAAGATATGGGCTAATTTAACCCTATTATAAGATAATTGGTGTAGATCTATAACTTGAACTCTTAACATAAATTAATAAAATTTGGGAAGACATCTTATGTCAATTACTAATAATAGATTTATCTTTTCAAATTATTAAAGAATGTATAAATTATTTACATCAAAATTCACAAGTTTCAAAAACTTGATTCCACCTGAGATAAAAATACAAAACATTGCAAACAATAGAATTGGGTATTATCAGCTTTTGTTTGTCAAAAGAAAAGAAGAAGAAATCAGTTCAGTTGCATGAGTATAAATCTTGCACCTTGATTCTTTCTTTGTGCGGCATCGGGTGCAAAAGAGTTGGTTGTTTATAAATATCCACACAATCATAAATATCTCCGTGAATAGTCTGCAAATATAAATTAATTTCACTATAATTTATCCATTAAAAAAAACGTATAAATATTTCTATAAGAAATATGAAATTTATACCTCAAGGACGAGATTTTGACTAGACCCATAACCTTCAACCAAACAAAAGGCAACGGTAGTCCAAACTAAAATGATGAAGCATAGAGTTGTAAACATCATTGCCATCTTTTTTTTCCCCATTATATTTCTTAAATAACCTATATATTTATATATTTATAGTGCAGAAGAAATGGTTATTTAGTCAAACATGGAATGCAATCTGATTATCGAAATCTAAGATTTAAATTATAAATAATATTCAAATATAATTCAATAAAATTAATTCCAAATTTATCCATTGTACAAATATTCTCCAAATTAATTAGTATACACTGAAAGTGGTCAGTAAAATTATGCTGTCAATTTGTTTTTGCAAAAACTATATAGTATATTCATATATTAAAAATATTTAAATAATAATAACAAGAAAATTATAATTAGGATTCCAATTTTAAAAGATTTGATTTAAATGTCTTAATATTCAAATATAATGAATAATATTATCACCAAAATTTAGTCATTGCATGAATATTCCCTAAATTAACTAGTATCTTTGATAGTTGACAACCAAATTATATACTATCAGTTCATTGTTAGAAATATTATAAAGTATTTTTATATATTATTAATATTTAAATAACAATAATAAAATAATATAATACTTCTTTTGTTATTTTATTTATATAATAGTAATATGTGAAGATACTTCATAATATTTCTATGAGTAAAAAGATCATGTAATTTTGATATTTGCTTGTCCTTGGATACTAGTTAGTTTCTTCTTTTTTGTTACTCCCTCCTTTTCAAAAATAATGTCCCTATTTCCTTTTCAATTTGTTTAAAAAAGAATGATCCATTTACTTTTTTAGCAACACTTTAATTTTTTACGTGAAATGTTTAAAACTACAATATTAAAGGGCATTTTAGTACATTTGATATAATTTTAGTTTAAAATCACAAAATTAAAAAATCTTCTTTATTTTCTTAAATTTCGTTCCAAGCAAACTAGGTCCTTGTTTTTGTAATGAAGGGAGTACATTCCTTTGTTATTCATATTCTCTTATATGTTGACACCTAATTTTGGACATCTACATTATAGATCAATTCAAACAAATAAGTAGTTTTATTAAATTTTAAAAAATATATGATATTGTTGGCAAGTTACTTTAAATAGATTTGTTACTTTTTATAATTTTCAATTAAAATAATGTATATTGTTTCTATATAATTAGTATATTTTATGGATATTCTAAAATGATCTCAAAAAGATTTCATTTTAATTAAAAAGTCAATAAAAATAGTTTAATTTAATTTATATTTATGATTTTAAGTAATTTAGCTTAATATTTAATTTCATCAATTAAATAAGCTTGCTAATTAATTAATCTTAATTCATCGTGTTTAAATTCTAGCCACTCGAATCGGCTATGTTTTGAATTCTATATGGCTTAATTCAATTTTTTGACCAAAATTGGGCCATTTCAGCCGACTTATCAGCCCAACACAAATCCAGCAGTCTGTTCTATCAATTTTCCTTAATTTCAGTAGCCCATTTCATAATATACTGCCCATTTCCAATGGTCCAGCAGCGTACAACGCCGACCGATAGGGTTCAATTTTGTTTTGTCTTTGCTTGCGTCTGCCTATGTTTAGTTCGTCGGAATCGTAGGGGTTTGAGGTTGGTCGTGGAAGGCTCTTCTTTCGTCCCAGATTCACCGTTCTACAAGAGGTAATAAACTCTTCTTTGTCTGATGTCTATCAATTAAGACAACTTTAAGAACATTAACATCAATTTTATTTTTTTTAGCGAAAATGACAGAATAACAATATGTTTATTAATTTTACGTATTTTAGATTTTAGTTTTATTAAATTTTTGTGTAATTTAGAATATATTATTATTAATTTAGTGTATTTATGCAAACTCATTTATTGGACCAAAACATGGTCCAATAACCATTTAATGAAAAAAGAAATTAATAATTACATGTACAGTATCAAGAAATGTAAAACTTAAATGCATTCAAAATTTTCAGATTATCATGGTCCAATAACCATTTAATGAAAAAAAGAAAAAAGAAATTAATAATTACATGTACAGTTCTTAAAACTTAAACACATTCAAAATTTTCAAGTTTTTTTCATCAAAATTTCCAGATTCTTCATCAAAGTCATTGATTATCAAGGATTCAAACAGATTTTCGAGCTCATAAAGGATTATTATTAAAGCAGATTTCGTGGTGGCAAGGTTAGTTCAACTTTCAGTTCTGATTTTTTTTTATGTTTTTGTTAAAATTCTGATTTTATATATCACGATTTTATGGATTATTTATGTGATTTTGTTATAATATCCATCATACATCTATGATTTTGTATTTTTTGTCCCTTTTTTGTGATTTTCTTTGAAAGTTTAAGATTAGGTTTATTATGAAAATTCATATATATAGAATCATTTTTGTTTGATGTTCAATACGGTTTACCAGTTGTTAAAAGAAAATTTCTTTTTTTTTTCCAGATTTTTGGATTGTTAGATAAAAAAGAGTGTATTGTATGCAATGGGTGATTCAGTAAGAATTACTAGAGGTATAAACAACAATATTCAAAAATTTTCGGAATTTCCCTCATTTGATTTGCGCATTACTCATGCTACCAAAAAAGTTCCTAGATTATATTTTGATCTTGTTAAATCTAGGAACTTTTTTGATAGCATGAGTAATGCACAAATCAAATGAGGGAAATTCCGGAAAATTTTGAATGTTGTTGTTTATACC